TACAGATATTTTTATAGAATATTATATGCATATATTTTAACATAAAGGACTTTCGGAAAGGCAATATCGGTTAGGCGATATAAAGATGTAAGTTATTATGGGTATTTCATAGCTTGCGAGAGGAATTATTGTTCGAGAGGCACGTACCAAAACGGGGAGGGCGGTGGGGTGGGGGAGGGAGAAAAAAAAGAAGAAGCTTTTGCAAGCTCGTAAATTTATCGAATATCAAACATTTTCTAGACTTTTCTTACTGATCCTCTCACGTTTACGTCATCAATTTTTCATTCTTTTTTTTTTTTTCTTATTTTTCATTGTCGTTATTATTTTTAATTACGAAAAATCGAAATAAGGAATGATAAAATTGATCGGAAAATAATTTTGATAAACAGGTTTGTGTTTAATCGATGTTCTTTTTCGTGATTTAATAGTTCGAATCTAACGCGATAGATAAATATCGAAAAGAAACTTTTCCTGTTTATTTTTCTTTCCGAGGAAATATTTGCTTCCGAATAGAATACGAGGGTTTATTTATTTTTTTTTTCTTTGCTGTTTGATATACGCGAAACGTATCTTCAGATATTCCATCAAATTCACCGTAGGAGAAACGTTATGGTTCAAGGAGTTACATTTTCCTTCGTTTAAATTTTGCACCCTCGCGAAAATACATAGAATGAAATATTAACTCGTTTAAATGTGTGACCGTAAAAATGTTACTAAAGATTTTTCTTACTTTTTTTTTTTGTCGCATCGTTTAGTTTTGATTTTCTAGTTTGGAAAATCTATGGATGATAGGTAATGTATATTTTTTTGACATTTGATCAGCCCCCTTTCAAAAAATCGAATAAAACAAAAATTAGTTATACTTAAATTCTTATAAATAATACACAAATTTTATAATATATATTTTTAATTATTTTTATATGTATTTTTCGTTAATAATTAAATTTTGCATAAATTGTATTAATCTGATTTCAGTTTAATTTCAGTCAATGTAAATAATATATAAAAATTGACGTTTAAAATAAATTACAAAAGATAAGAAAATGATATCGGTAAACAGAAGAGAGGAAAAACGAATAACGAGAGAAGAAAGAAACGTAATAAATGGAATATAAGAGGAGACTTAACTTCGTTGACATTAGATGCTGGAACGTGTTTTTTTAGTGTCGACAATGTTCCAACATAAGTTAGAAATTTTCGTATATCAATATTTAAAGAAGTAACATTAATCTTATTCCATTTCTTCATCTTCTTCCACCATCATCATTTCTTTTCTGCTATTTAAACATCTTCCAAACAAATTTTCGTATTTCCTATTCCGTTTTCGGATTTTTACAAAATTGAAATAAAATTTCGTAGATTATATTTCTCATTCGTAATTCATTTCATAAGTTATAAATTATTGTTCAATACTTTAAACTAGAACAATCTAGTCTAGTCTATAAAATACCTTGTGTATGTGACAAATGCTACATTGGACAAACAAAACAAAAATTAAAGAAAAGACTAGAACAACATAAAAATGATTGCAAATCTACAAATG